ACTGGTAAAAAGATGAAGGAATTCCTAACTACTTCTATGTTTCTAGTGAAAAAATAAAAACAACTAAGAATAAAGGAAAAGAGGAAAAACCGGAGAGTGATTAAGTTATAAAGTCTATTTTGGGAAGGCGAATATACTAGAGAAGTATTATGGCAGGACCACTAGGCAAGGTTGGGTGCACACCGTGTTCCCACTCTTACCAGTAATTCTCTACCAGCACCATACCCGTATTTACTGTATTTCCCACTACATTACAAACTCTGTGAGAGTAGAAACCATGTCTGTGTGCTTCACAGTTGAATTCCCAGCACCCTGGCAGAGAATCTAGCATGTAATTGCTCAGTATTCCTGACGTGACTATATGCCTGCTCACCGTTTAACATATACGGTATTCAGCAATGAGGCTGCAGAGATGGGAAGACAGCCCCTGCCCCCAAAAGCCTATCTTCCAGAGGAAAGGCAGACACACAAATACAGCACAGTGTCGTGTCTCTCTCACACACACATACAAGGTGAAGTAGGAATAGAGGGAAAGGGGGAAGCGTTCTAAAAGGCAATAAGCCAGGCATATGGTATATGCCTATCGTCCTAGCTACTCAGGAGGCTGAGGCAGGAGGATTTTTTGAGCCCAAGAGTTTGAGGCCAGCCTGGGCAACATAACAAGACCTTGTTCTCTTTAAAAACAAGAACAACAACAACAAGGAAATTGCACTTGAGCTGAGAAGTCTAAAATGTGAAGGAATTTTTAAGACAGTCAAGCAAAGGCAAATAGTTTGAGACATCAGAATGTTCAGAGAATGACAAGTAGCTCAATACTATTGGAGCATAAAGTATAGAGGCGGCAGAGGAAAGAGATGAAGCTGCAGACAGCGAGGAAGCCAGATCATGAAAGAGTCGGTATGTCAAGAAAACATTTTTAATTTTACTTTGGGAAACATAAGTTGTACATGGGAGTGACACAATCAGATTTGCAAGTCTAATCAAGCCTGCAAACATAGAAGACGGACTGGAAACCAGAGGCAAGAAAGCCAGGATTATAGTAGTCTACATAGGAGATATTGAGAGGCTAAAACAGAGGATGAAAAAGTAGCAATGATATGAAAGATATTTAGAAACAAGACTATCAGGCACAAGGGTGGCAAACTTGCAATCTCTTGGATAACAGTTATGAGAGATAATATTAGGACCCACAGATCTGATGGATAATTCCAAAAGAAATGCTGGGCCCCAGTTCACAATAGCCCAATAGTTCCCATGACATAGAAAACTCTGGACTAGGTCTCCTTGCCTTACAGATTCAAACTGGTTTTGAATTTGTAAACTAGGAAAAACAAAACTATTTTTTAAGACAAAATGACTTCATATAGATTAGAGAACAGAATAAATGAAAGTTGGAAAATGACTTAAAAACTTGTTTCGAGACCAAAGACTTATTTTGAGGACAGTCTTAAAGACTCCTAAATAGCATTTTAAATGAGCACAGCTTTCAGTCAGGCAAAAAAGGAAACTAAAAGGGTTGCCAACACTGGAACATAACTCTAAAAAAGGGACAGATGTCCTCCTCTAGAGACACCTAACTACAAGAAGAACACTCAGCTACTGAGGATGTTTGAAATCTGTCTGAAATAAGAAAAATATTCTATCTCTGAGGTCCTTTTAAAGCCAATATATTATACTCCAATGATCCCAAAAAAAAGATCTCTCAATGGCAACTTTCTACCTCTGGTTCCTTCTTGAAACCATGATATCTCAGCTATGAGGGAATAGAGGAAAACAGACCATTTTCATACCATTAGGCCCAATAACAACAGGCTTTTTAAAGATTTGGTAGCATTCTAAATTGGTTTAAAATGTACTGGTCAATTTCCAAAGAGCACATGCTAAACACACACATGGAGAGGGAATAGAATAGACTGCCAAAAAAAATAGGGAAGATTACAGAACATTTCCCTCCAATTCATCCTACATGCTAACATCAATTTTAAATCTCTTCCTTTCTTTAAAAAAAATTCTCAGTTGCTTTACTATCACCTACAGGATAAAGTCCAAATTCCTGGCCAGGCACAGTGGCTCACGCCTGTCATCCCAGCACTTTTGGAGGCCAAGGCAGGTGGATCACCTGAGGTTGGGAGTTCGAGACCAGCCTGACCAACATGGAGAAACCCCATCATTGCTAAAAAAAAAAAAATTAGTAAGGCATGGTGGTGCATGCCTGTAATCCCAGCTACTCGGGAGGCTCAGGCAAGAAAGACACCGGAACCCAGAAGGCGGAGGTTGCAGTGACCCAAGATCACACCATTGCACTCCAGCCTAGGCAACAAAAGTGGAACTCTGTCTCAAAAAAAAAAAAAAAAAAAATCCAAATTCCTTAGCCTGGCATTCAAACATCTAGCACTCAGCACTACCTAATCCCTCAACAGTATCTCTGACATTTCCCTCTCTCCAGCTCACTCGACTCCTCCATTCTCTTCCAACAAGAAACTCCACAGGAAAGTTAGAAATCCCAGCACCATAAAAAGGAACAAGCTACCTTTGCCAACAATCAAAACAAAGGAAAAGCATCCAAATTTCCCATTAAAACCAGTCTCCAGTTGATGATCTCGGCTAACAAATGGCAGAAGAGGCAAAAATTAGGAAAAGTCAATGAGGTCAAAAGAAGTGTAAATCATACCCTACTTTTCCTGAAGTTGCTTTCATTTCTCTAGCTCTATTACCTGTTCTCTAATAGATTTGGAAATCCTAATCCCCCTCATTGACCCTATTATTAATATGCCCTTTTACCAGGTTTCTCTTCAATGACAAGTCACCTAGTTTCCGTTGGAGAGGAGAAAGGCAGTCTAGTTAGCCAATTCAATTTCAGCCACAACAGGCTTAAAAACAGGTCTTTACATAAGCAAAAGTCATTTGCTCAAAAAACCTTCTGGCTTTATTACACTGATAATCTGTAACTCTAGTCCATGCCCACCCTTCAGCAAACCACATTCTTCAAAGCATCCATGAAAAGTCTTTTGTAACCCTAGAGGCTTATAAAGGCAGGGTGATTTCTACATGGAGAAGGCATCTTTTTTAAAATCAGCTTTCAGACCCTGCCTTGTTCCTACTCTTCCAGACCTGGAAACAAAAACATCACACAAAATTAATCAGAAGTTCTCACCAAGGTTCCTTCTCCAGGCTGGCTAATAAAAACACTTAGTCACGAACAGTACTGTGGCAGAAGGTGGTAGGTGAGTGGTGAAGAATACTTAGAGCAAAGAAGATAGTGTATCTGGTCTGATGATGGTTAACACACCCTGAAGGCAAGGATGCCACTACAGACAACCAGTTCTTGATCATCTAGGACAAAAGTCAAAGATAGTAACTAAATATCCAATCAACAGGCTAATCTGCAACTCTACATCAGGCTAGTACACTTCTGTTTTTAATTCTGGGAAGTATCTCCGGTGCGTCAGAAACTAGCAATGTAAACTTGTAAAATGCATTCGATAGGTCTGTAACTTTAAGAACAGCACCACTTTTTTTTGAGATGGAGTTTCGCTCTTGTTGCCCAGGCTGGAGTGCAATGGTGCGATCTCGGCTCACCGAACCCTCCACCTCCTGGGTTCAAGTGACTCTCCTGCCTCAGCCTCCCAAGGAGCTGGGATCACAGGCGTGCGCCACCATGCCCAGATAATTTTTGTATTTCCAGTAGAAAGGGTTTCACCATGTTGGCCAGGCTGGTCTCGAGCTCCTGACCTCAAGGGATCTGCCTGTCTCAGCCTCCAAAAGTGCTGGGATTACAGGCATGAGCCACTGTGCCAAGCTGCCAGACAATTCCAATGCTGTATTTTGTCTGTTCCCCAACTAGACTGTAAACTATTTGAGGACAAAGAACATGTGCCTGATGTATCCCCAAAGATTTTACCATAATACCTCATGAAAATACAACTGATGAACTGACTGATGATCACACTGAAAAGAAACCATGAATGATGACGTTTTCAAAGTAGCAGGTGATGCCAGTGACAGAGGCCACACATGTTTTCAGTATTCACTGAATCCCCCTTGGGCAAGAACAGTCAGATTCTGACAAAACTTGATGGAGACAGTTCTCGATAAATATGGCCATCTACAAGGTTACCAAATCCTGGAATCAAAAGGAAAAATAGGGCTAAAATAGAATTAGGCTGGGTGCAGTGGCTCAAGTCTGTAATCCCAGCACTTTGGAAGGCCGAGGCAGGCAGATTATGAGGTCAGGAGTTCAAGACCAACCTGGCAAACATAGTGAAACACTGTCTCTACCAAAAATACAAAAAATTAGCCCAGAGTGGTGGCAGGCCCCTGTAGTCCCAACTACTCGGGAGGCCGAGGCAGGAGAATCGCTTGAACATGGGAGGCGGAGGTTGCAGTGAGTCGAAATCACGCCACTGCATTCCAGCCTTGGCGACAGAGCGAGACTCCGTCTCAAAAAAAAAAAGAGAGAGAGAGAGAATTATGTGAACAAAAACCGGGTTCAGGAGAGTGAAAGAACAGCTTCCTCAACAATAAAAAATTAGCAGCTAAAGGCAAGATCAAGCAAAGGATGATTAAACAAGAAAAGCACCAGAATTTATATTCCTTGCACTTTCATTGAAATATCTCACCGGAGATTGGTAATAAGGCCAAAATGAGAGAGATTATTCAAGTTGGGTTTTTCATTTGAAAAGTCTATTAGTTTTAGAGTTGGGTTAAACCTAATTAAAGTTGGAATAGGGTTTCCCCTGATCAATATTAAGTGGATCACCAGATGGAACAGCAGCATGAAGGTGGTTTGCTTATACATTTAAGTCCAACTTCTACGCAGCTATTTGGTATTGGGCATATGATCCAACCCTTCTGGGCCTCAATTTCCCGATCCACAAAGAGGGCAATGCAGACTCTTCTCATAACTTCAAGGGGCGGTGGTCTCATATAGAGTACTATAAAAACAAAATTAGCACACCAAAAGAACACATTATTATTACGATTACTTATAGAACCATTACCCGCTAGGATGAAACTCCCCACACAAGAGATGAAGCCCGAGAGAAAAGAGTTGAAGGGGAAGGTCCCCACGAGGAGACAATAACCGAATTGCAGC